CATTAACCTTCAACCTTTGCTTTAATACTTTCATTCATTACCTCTCAGATAATAAATTCAACCAGTTCGGCTTCTATACAAACTCCTTAAACCCTGTCCATTGGTTTCAGCTCGCTGACGATGCGGCAGTGGTTACTGGTCAAGAAAACGAAAATCAAATTCTCTTAAACCACTTCTCTAGATGGTGCTCTTGGGCAAACATGCATATTCGGGTTGACAAGTGCTCAACATTTGGAATTAAAAAATCATCTACTTCATCTGTTCAGTTTCTACCCAAACTTATTGTCAATAAAAACATAGTTCCCACTGTTGAAAAAGACAAATCTTTTAAATATCTTGGTAGATACTTCAACTTTCCTATGGATAATAGTGATCATATGTCAGAACTATTGGAAACTGTCAACTCGTTAATGTCCAGTATCGACAAATTGTCGTGTCATCCAAAGAACAAAATTCTGTTATACCACCGATATGTGCTATCCAAAATTTCCTGGAACCTGACCATCGCTGATTTAAGCAAGACATGGGTGACAGAGAATCTAGACAATGTTTTTTCAAGCTTTGTTAGACAATGGCTCGAGCTGCCAATAAGTGCTTCACTAAGTTGCCTCGTCATTCCAAAATCGAAGTTTGGCATCAATCTCATTCTTCCATCTACCAAGTTCTTACAATGCCAAACAGTTATCCGCAACTCTTTAAGACTGTCCCCAAACCAAGAGATTCGCTCTTTATGGAAAGACTCTAGCACTGGTACAAACATACAATATGACGTTTATCGCAACACCAAACAAGTTCTCAAATCCATCCAAAGTGAACACGAAAACCGCATTGAAAACGTTCTTACATCTCAAGGATTTATTATCTCGTGCATCTTAAAATTTGCTTCTAAGGGAACTAATCAACTTTGGTCTAGTGTCCAGCAAAAGTTACCAAAAAACATTTACAACTTTACCATCAAATACCTAAACAACACTCTTGCCACTAGGAAAAACCTCTGCAAATGGTCAATTACTCAGTCATCTGCCTGCTCTTTCTGTCTCCAATCAGAATCATTACAGCACATAGTCTCTAGCTGCAAGAATTATCTTGAACATGGTAGGTATACCTGGAGACATGATTCTGTACTTCTATATTTGGCTAAAAACCTTTCAACACCTAGAAACAGCTCACTTTACGCCGACCTGCCTTCATTTCTATCACCTTCTTTAATCACAGGCGACTCCTATCGACCAGATCTTGTCTTCGTAACTGAAGATCGAATCCTTTACATGCTAGAGCTTACTGTTGGGTTCGAAAGCAACATCGACGAAAACAGTACACGAAAAGCTAGGAAATATAGCGACCTTATCAAGGAACTGAGCCCTGCCTATAAACGTGTTACCTTTGTTAACCTTTCTATGAGTGCCCTTGGCATTCTGGGAACCTCATCTACCTCTCTCTCTGACATGCTACACCAACTTAATTTTGACTCAAATCAAACTAAATCCATCTTGATGAAGCTCATGAACATTTCTATCCGCTGCACCTACTATATCTTCTGTTGTCGAAACAAACCATGGCTAAGCCCCGAACTAATTGACTTTTAAATATTGTAATGCAGATAAGCCAATTATATGATGCCTGTAAAAGCGAGTCGTATAATTGTAGATTTAAAATGTATTCAATGAAAATGAGATGTTTAAAAAAAAATTATTGTTTTTATATAGTGCAGCTTTAGAAGAGAAGCGAATATCCTGAAAAAATATAGGATAAAAACTGGAGTATTCAAGGTTGACTTTTGCTTTTATGAAAAGATGAGTGTACCAGCTCTTTAACACGTGTACCTCAGTTCAACACTTTATCTTTCCTCGTATAATTTGTGTCGCTTTACTTAATCGAGCATTTAGTTTTCACCAATAAACAGATACATATCGCTGGTTGTAAACCCATTACCCGCAATAAATAGTGAACAATGGACGTTAGGATGCCCGAACACCAGCAAGCACGTTTGTAAGAAATTTTTAAACAGATTAAGAATTCTGCATCGTTGCAGGTTTCTCACAAACATATTTGTGAATCCAAGTAAACATAGAAATATGTTGCTGGTGGATGAAACCAAGGATGCTTTCCGCTTCGCTTTATTTTTCAACACTGTTGTTGTATAATATTATCTGAAAGTTATAAAACTGAATCTAGTAGATACGAGTACAATTAGGTTCTCACAAATGTCTGATCAATCCAAACTTCCATTAAAGCTTAATTCTAAGTTTCCACAATTGTTCTGTTTTTTAATATATTTATAGTGCTCTCATTCTTTCCTATTCGTCTTGTTTTCTCTTTGCTTGGCTCGCTTCTTTATGTGCCACTTCATAACGGTAACATGCTCGAAACGTCCTGCCTTTAACAATCTATTTCATGTTGATATTTAATTTATTCGCTAATCATATTGTCATAACTTTTTACGATGCTTATTGAAGTTACATTATGCGTAAGATTATAGATGGCTAGAAAGTTTCATTTTCAGAAAGATCCCCAGCAAATCGCCAGAAAATCGTCTTAAAGAGAATTCCTCAAAGCCTCTGAAAACCTCTGAAAACCTTTGAAAACCTCTGAAAATCGCTGAAAGCCTCTAAAAACCCCTGGAAAAACCCCCTGAAAACCTCTGCAAACCTCTGAAAACCTCGGAAAACCTTTGAGAACACCTACGTGACCAAACCTTTGATCTGAATTTTTTAGAGAATGCATGACCAAAAATAAACATAGAGCAACCAGCGAATGCACTCAATAATGTTTATACCCAAAACCATAACCTACCTACCTAGGTTGCTACGTTGTTTAATGCAGTTGGCATAATCAATGAAACTTTTCAGCTGGAGCCTAGTATATTAAGAGGGCATTAATCAAAGTAAATATAGCTTTCGCCATTATGAATCTGGAAACAGTCTTTTGTAGCCTATAACAATGCGAGAATTTGTGATAATATCGAGTATTACTTGGTAGCAATTCGATCTGAGTTTTTAAGAGAATGCATGCGTCAGGTAGAAAGCGGCAAGGTATAAAATACTTGGCATCTCAGTCGCTTTAATGATGGATAGTTTTAGCTGTTAATTGCTACTTAATCCAATATTTTTATGTTGCCGATGGGAATTAGAAGAGTTTCTTCTAAAAGTCAAAGAACAGTAACTTCAATTTTCGAGGAAAAGTTCAGTCATCCCCCCCCCCCCTCTCCTGGAACAATGTCGGATCACTGTAAAAATGATGGAGTACGTTCTCCGTGCGACTTGTTTGATATTTGCCTGAAATTATGCATTTTTCTAAGAGAGAGAGGGGGGAGTTTCTAGGCCAAAAAATTAACAACGTAAAATTAAAGCACAAGCCTGCTAGGTGTCTCAGAAGGTATTGTCGTTGAAAGTAAAGAGACAAGCCATGATGCCCGAGGAGCTTTACTTCAAAATTGATTTGTTTTGCCCCTTCTTTGATTTTCTTGTCTTGAAATATCGAGATATTAGAGTTATTAAAATGTCTGAGATATGTAGCTTGTAAAAAATGAAATATAAAGTATAAAAATAAGGCTATGAAAATATAAAAAATGAAGTTATGTGATCTATTATTTAGTTATTGAAAGGAAAGTTTGGTATTCCTTTCATTTTAGATTTCAAAATATCTCTAAGATTGTTTATTGACAAGGGTGGCGACCTCTATACGCAGTGGTGGGTAACACATAAAATATTCATATCTAATTATGAATAAGCACTTGTCGTTGATTCAAATTGTTTTGGTTCTAAAACAAATTTAATTGTTCCTTACTATTTGGCTGCATAACCATTTGATCTGTTTACAAAGGATCTAACGATGCAACCTCAAATATTTATAATAAAAAAAAGGGAAATCACAAACAAACGCGGGCACTAGCTGCTTGTGACCAGCACTGTGCTAATTTATAAAACGTGTTTGTTTCTCATCGTTCAAAGCTGCAAGGTCCTAGCACCATTCAACAAGGTTACGCATTTCCGAAGACGGTCACACCATTGAATAAATATCAGTCCTCGAGTCTGGCAGTGCCTCAAGCAGACTGCCAAAGCTGTGCGTCTCCAACTAGATTGGGGAATCAAGGAAGAATTGTAAAATTACTTCTGGGATTATTATAGTGAAATGGATACTGCTATAAATACAAACGATGTCAGAGATGAGTCTGGTGAGATTCTAAAACGATTTCCACTCATAATGGCAAAAGAAGAGAGCAAAGTTTCTTGCTTGGCTTCACCGACGCTTCCACCGCTAATCCCAATTAACAGCTTTACATCAAAGTCTCCTTTAGAGACGGACAAGAAGAATATCTCGCCAGGTGCAGCAAACTTCAGCATTTCAAGTATACTATCAAGCGATAGCAACAGATCATTGGTGCTGGAGAGTGCGAAAAGAACCATAGTGCAAAATGAAGCAACGGGAGAAAAACAGAGACCTAGTTCAAGACGTTCGCATGATCGAGGGGTGCCTTCTTATACTTGCATGATAGGACAGGCGATATTAAGTAGTCCAACACAACAAATAACACTAGGTGAGATATATGACTACATAGAGAAAAAGTTTCCATCAATCGAGGTTAAGGTCAAAGGATGGAGAAACTGTGTGCGGCATAATTTGTCGCTGAATGAATGTTTTGTGAAAGTCGGTCCATCAAGGCACGGGAGAGGCAACAATTGGACCGTACATCCTTCGTATATAGAGAGTTTCCTGCGAGGCCAGTTTAGAAAGAGGATGTCGACACGAAGGAGACGAGGCCATGTCTTTGGGCCTCCTTACTGGGCTGACCAGAAATTGAACGGGATGAGACTTAACGCAGGAGATTTGTTCCCTACGATATACCCGTCACAAAGAATAGACACGTACGGTGATTTTCATCATAGCTTAGACACAGATAGACACACAGAGCGATGTTTGGTATCCAGAAGGCCCTACAGATTTGAAGACCAGAGAACAGAGAACACTCTTCCATCTCGATGCATGCCAGGCTCCATTCACTACAGAAACCCTTTTCACCATTTTTGCAACCAATTTAAAGCCCCCGTCTCTTCACCTACAGATATCAGAAGCGAAAATGCAAACAAGGGGCTTTTTATTCCCGGGAAAAGGCTTGGTTTTGTTCACGAAAATAACTTCGAACATTACAAAAATGAAAACTTTCAGGATCGGAGTAACTCAGAGGACAAGAAAGTATCTAGAAATTCAGGCTCTACCGCTGTCAATTGCCATCAACATTATGATGGGGGCCTCATACTTCATTTTCCAGATAAAATATCGACGTTAGATCAATCAGTGACTGAAACAAGACCATTGAAAGTCCATTATGAAGGGCTGAATCTAGCACGAAGCCATGGGAACTTCATTCCCCCGTCAAGAGACAGCAAGATTGATACGCTAGCAAAAGCTTGCTCAAAAGTTACCGAACCTCTTTCTAAATTTATTCTTACAAATGCCTAAAAGATTATTCCTTTAATGTAGTTATAGTGATTTTTAGCGATATATTTGTTTTATGAATAGACCAGAAAACACAATATTCTACATTTGCTCTTTATGTCTCAACTACAGCTTCAAGGGTGGATCAACGGATATTTTATGAGCGAAACATATAACAAGAGTCATAATATACTACTCAGTTTTTTATACTTGAAGTTGTGGCTGTGGTAGAGTCTATTTATTCGAACAAAAAGCAGTAACTTCAGTCAGTTGGGGATTTAGGCCCACAAAAATAGCCCTGGATGCTTAGAAAATGACTGATTTTATATCAGTTGCCAAGCCATAGCCATGATCATAATTTTTCTTGTTCAGTTTAAGAGTGGAAAACTTGGTGCTTACTAGTTCCAGTGATGAAAAGCATCAGCGGTTGTAATGCAAAATACTTATTACTAAACTCAAATCGTTCTCTAAGAAATATGAATATACTCTTAAATAAAAATTACTTGAAAATCATCTCTTAAATTCACATTATAGCCAATGAAAAATTTACCTTTTAAAAAGCAGCTTAATAGGCCAAAATGTGTTTTCATTCAATTATCTAGCTTCTTTGGTAAGCCAAACAGTGGAGTAATAAAACAGCTACATTGTTCCAAAGCCTAAAAATAGCCAACTATTAACCGAATAATAATTTGTCAGCCATTGTCGTATCTGGGACGTAGCGTCATGGAAAGGGAGTTTTCCACGCCAATAATTTTCAAAAATGGGATGACGCCCATTTAACTATCATTCGAGATTAGCTATACCTAAATAATATTTGCCCCTAATCTCCCTCCTCCCCCACACATCTAAAAATAAAAAAAATGACTTGTTACGCTGCTTGCTAATCAATGTTAGCTGTCTTCCTCGTTGGCTGTGTCTTTAGTTACCAGTCCCTTTTTGAGGAATCTATTGTAACATCCACGACACGCATTGCTTCTGTTTTGATTTTAGGCCATGGTTTGCTCAACTAACACGTTTGCTGTTATTAATATTAACGGCATGCATTGATAAATTTGTTCATAAAACTTTGTAAACAACAACTGGTACGCGTGATAACTCAGGCCAAGTTTGTAGAATACCAGTGATTTTGTGTAAACCAAATGATAATTGCCATCAAAATTCGATCCCTGTTTAATTTAATTTTTTTTTGAGAACTAGATTATTTCTTGCCGAAGCTGAAGATTCTTGATTTTTGGATAATTTGACGGTCAGGAATTCATATTATTGTTTTTAATTGAACATCGATTTTATTTGCATTGTTTACTATATATTTCAGATTGTTTTTAAGACCGCTAAAAAATAGTTTTGCGAGACATTTTTGATCGCACTGCTAATTTTCTGTTAACACAAAAGAAATTTTCTTCTTCTAACTTTTCATCTGAGGCTAGACAGGTTGTTACAAAGCTATTTTTGGGCCAATTGAGTCTCGTTGCTCTTATTACGTGTTCTAAAAATGGCTAAACCGATCGATATTCATAATTAAGTTTTCAAACAACCCCCCCCCCCTCCAGCCTCTCCCCCTACATGAATCAGTTTTTGTGTTAAGCCTTACGAACTGATTTATTACTCAGTATTTCAATGCATCATTATCATTAATTCTTTTAACGAATTGTGCCTAAAATTTCAAACACGCACCTTATAATTTATTCATGATTATTTGCATTATTTTGGTTTTTGGCCACTAATTATAACCAGTAACTGGTCACTGCCGCATGTCTTTTCTACCCTCTGCTTATTGCTACTCTGTTTAATGTCAAACAACTGGTTACTCGCATAAAGCATTTTATCTCAAATAACTGTTTGACTAAGCTCCATTTACAGTCACCTTTTCAAGCAACATTTGGTTTGCCTATAAGCGGAGTCTAATGTACCTTTTTTAACATCAAGGGCAAAAAGACACGAGTAAACAATGATTTGGGCGGAAAAAAGTAATCCCCTAAAAGTTTTTTAAGGCAATCTCATTGTAACAGAATGCTAATAGTAAATTTTCACTATTTTCGTTCATTTTGAACCCCCCCCCTTTCTTCCCTGTTTCAATTCAACTCATTATTTAGCTGCCCTTGAAAATTAAAGCAAACCAATAATTAAAACATAACCTAAATACTGTGTGTCCACCTTCTCCGATCTATTTATACCGATTCAAGAATTTTTGCTCAGCATTTTTGCATATGCATTTGATGTAATTTAATACACACATGTAACAGGTTGCATGCAAAATAATTGCAAATGCATTGACATGTAAAATTGTAGATTTAATATACATCGGACGAACAACGAATGGGAACAGCTTCTTCATCTTTCGCATATTGGCTTCTACCGTCCATTAGCCTTGCCACAGTTCTTTTTCACTTGTTTCGCTCGTAGTCGTTCTCATTCAGTTCGTCCAATTACCTGCCTATTGATTGCAAATCATTATTTATTTGTCTAATCCATGTGTGTTTCGGTCTTCCTCTGTTACTTTTCGCTTTCTTCAGATGCTTTTTGAAGACTAATTTTGCTGGTGCTATGTCTAGCAGCCTTAGCATGTGTCCAAACCATTTTAAACGAAGCCTCTTTATTTTGGTTGTGATGGGTTTTTGATGCGATCTTTTAAATATTTTTCCATTCTTTTATTTTGTCCATAAATCTTATGCTTAACATTCTGCGTAGCAATTTTCTTTGGAAGCTGTCAAGACTTTCTTATAATATTTTTGTTAGGGTCCAGATCTCACAATTGTACAGCAACATCGGATATATAAATGCGTTAAATTTTCTCATTTTTAGCTTTACCATTTTAATTCTATGTCACAGATAACTATTCAAAGGTCAGTATACGTTATCATGCCATTATGAGAATGGCAGTTGTCGAGCCTTCTTTTTTACAAGGATGAAATCGATTTGATTTCTAGCTGGGCTCTTGCCAGGGGATTCCCATGTTGTTCTATGCGCCATTTTGTGATAAAAAGTGTATTGCATAGTATCATTCTGTTTGATCGTGCAAACTCCAAGAGGTTTTCTCCATTTGTGTTTGTTATGCCTTTTCAAAGTAAAGCTTACATGGCGTAAGTTCAAAGAGGCAGAAACACCTTCAGAACTAGCAACAGCAAACATCTTACATTCTTCCTTTATGGCAGCGATTATATTAAAAAAAATTTAACAGCAAGCTTGATTGACCTATAGCAAGTATGCTACTAGCACTACGAAGCTTTCTAAAATACTAAAGGAAGATCAAGCTATGCCACTGGAGATAGTTGCAAACCTATAGCGGATTGACATTATAGGTGCTTATGCATGTGCATCTTATCGCTTAATACCCACCAGCCTACATCTCCCAAAAGGAGATGCACGAATCATTATGAATTAATATTGATATGAATTCAGCCCTTCTTCAAAAGTCATCTGCATCCATCGCTTTGTATCCAGTTAGAAAGTTCATTAAAAGCAAATGTCAATGTAGTGCGTTTTATTACAGCAAATATCGGCATTTGAATTTCATAATGTTGAGAAATTCACAGCAACTGACAATTGGAAATGCGTAACGATGTTGATAAAGTACAGATAAACTGGTTGATGACGTAGATATGGACTGGTGGGTTTCGCGCCTTTTTTGTAGTGACGTGACATCGAATGCGCGTATGAGAGGGAGTCACACATGATTTCCGAAAAAGGTGCAATGCAGCTGTGTAAAAAGAATATAAATATGGGTCTTATCCTTTAAAGACAGCAATTAGTGGCATTGAAGTAGATAAGCATGAGATGTGACGTTGTTTGCTTACGCTGACTCACCAAGAGACTTGCATATACAAGAGATAAACTTTGAATTAGTTCTGCTGCAAAATGAGTGGAACCCCATTTTGCTATAGCGCATTTATTGGACGATTAATCCTCACGAAAGCACAGACGACTATTATTTCAATTTGCTTCAGCTTGGAGATCCCTTTTCTCGTCATCTTAAATGGAGCCTTGATTATGGCGCTGATCAAAACGAGGCAGTACAGGTCGACAGCCAACAGGTTTATTATCTTATTGTCGCTATCTGATCTATTCACCGGGGCCGTTTCAATTCCTCTACAAGCCATATTGTTTGCAACCTACTCCCACAAAAGACAGTGTTGGTTTGAGCTGATGACGATGTTCATCACTCAAATGAATGTTCACTTCTCTGGATATCTATTCATGATTATCGCAATACAGAGGTACTTCAAGACCAACCCCTCTTTAAGATTTCGTACCTCACTATCAGTTGAGTATTTGCTCTCTCCAATCGGATCAATCGTTCTTGTTGTAATTGCTCTTATTGCATCAGTAGGACATGGTCTGGTCACTACATACTTCTTTGACTCCACAAAATCAAAGATCCCAAACTACACAATGATGGCATTCAACGTCATTTTGGGACTGACAGTGTACTTTGTTTATATACGGCTATTCTGGGGGGTTAAGGTGCATGTTGCTGCCAATTATGATGGCAAACAGAGCATCGGTGGGGCACGAACATCGCATCTCAATGCCACAAATCAACAGGGAGAAGTCAGATATTATAAGAACTTCACCAAGACGATCTTCCTGCTTCTGATATCGTATGCTTTGTGTCTCGTCCCATTTGTTATTCTTGACTTCGTGACTGGTTGGTACTCGTTTGTGAAGAAAACACCAGCACCACAGACAATTCGATTTTTGTATTACTTATCATTCGCTCCGGGATATTCTTTCGGCATTATTAATGCTGCGATGCTTTTGTACAGAAACAAAGAAGCAAAAAGATTTCTCAAGGAACGATTGACAAGCACAACAGTTACAAGTGTTTCTTATTAAGAACGCTCGTTTCTGATGATTCTTGAAGAACCCGAGCGGGATGACATATTCATTTGACAAGAGGGCTAAAAGTGTTATGGTGATTAATTATCGGAGAAAACTATTGTGCTACAAAGGATTGTGGGAGGAGCTGCCTGTAGAGAGAAGCTCACGTGACAGTTGATGTCCTCATCAAATTTGTCAGAACGTAAAGGTTACAAAATTTGATTGAAACGCCATCAATATTGCAGTTGACCTAGAGTTACTTAATTTTCTATGTACTGACGCAATCTTTATCACATGCAAGTTTTCCGTGGTGGGGAAGAGCAGAGCATTGCTTTTTTGGCTTTCCCTATGTTGTTTAAACCAGGACAGATATAATACAAAAACGGGTAATTATGCATAGGATTGAAGTTCGTAGCTTTTTTGTTACTTAATATTGAAGTAAAAGTTGATATTAGCTACAACAGTAATGAAATTATACAAATATATCAACTTATAGAATGAAAAACACTGAGAAAGTAGAAAACACTGTTTTTTTTAATTCATCTAACTGTAATTACGGATGAATGAACGCTTAGAAAAGTTCGTGGAAAGCTGAAAGGCAAGAAAGGGTTTTCCTCCGCATAATATTCGTTCCAATTTGGCATTATCAGACAACTTTGCCACTTTAGCATCATGTGCATTACAAGTTGGGGAATTTTACAGATATGGCTGCATTTGAAATTATGTATATTATTTCTAACTGTGATTGTTCCTTTCCTTTTCATTGTCATTTTACCGTATTTCTTTGTACATTTTAGAACAGCATTGATATGAAAGGACATTTCTCTAATAATAAACTTTAAGTTCAAAACTTTCTAGCCGTAGAAATATGCTTCACTCCCTCTGTGGTCTATAAGATAGGATACCAATACGACTTCAAACAAACGTGAAAGGGGTTCTGTTTTTAAGTCCTAGGGGTCACCTGGCACCTTATATATGGAGGAAGGGGGGATCAATCCGATAACTTGGTAGATTTAAATTGCCAAAAGTTTTAAGCATAAATATTTTTTCGATCTGTGTTATAATGACTTTAAGTTGCAACAAGTCAATGGTCATGTACTTGCGAACTTTGTTGTTTCGAAATTGTGTTTCTCCGATCTGATTCATGAATAGTAGGTCTGGTAGTTTTCGGTTAATTTGAGTGTGTGAGCTTTGACTGAAAAGTAATTCTGACAGAGAGACCCCTGCACAAATATATCAATTCATTACTTGCACGTTTAATGAAACCTGTACGAATGTGGTTTCTGGAAATAAAGTCGTCTACATAAAGAATTGTATAAGCCACCGGTAACAATAGTGCTCTTTCCTTGCACAATTATATCTTCTAAAGTCCTGCTAAAAGGGGAACTCAATTTCGATGTCTCCACGCAGACTAGGAAGGATACCGTACAAGAAGAAGATTGTTTTTTTTATCAAGAATCAATCTTTTGCAAGCTTATGTTTGAGTTTAAGAGAGATAAAATGGTAGAGTTCAAAACCCCTCGACTCAGTGTGACCAGATCTAGCATAATATAATGCTTTCAGCATAACATTGACCAAAAATCGTCATTTAGCATAAAATCTAGCATAATTTGGAATCTAGCTTAACTCTGGCATAATTTTGATAGTTTTTTATCGCTGTTTCCATTGATCTGTTGTCTATCACCACCAAATGGAAACACTTTACACAAGAATGTGTGACTTTCCACTTTCAGGGTTTAGCCAGGTGTTTGGAACGGTTGGCAGCCAAATATTTTATGGTTGGCAGCCAAATTCAGTCAGCTAAATTCAGTACACAAAAAAGCTAAATTTTTTACAATTGCGGGGAGTGATAGTGTAATCAAAATTTGCTTTGTAGGTTACAAAGCTTTCATTTACTTTTATCTTACATTGTCTGTTATCTTTTACGTTGTTTCATGTTTCTTTATTTGCAGTTTAGAAATCATTTTAAAACAAATTTGAATATCCTCTATGTAAAAAATTTATTTTCCTTTGCATTTTTTGTGATTTTTTGCAACATGCTGCCAGAATTCTGCCAACTTTTGCTTCTTCGACCAAATCAATTTATGACGGCCAAGGGGTTAAGAAATTTGGATGTCAAAACCATTAATCTAAATTGCCATTTTGTGTAGAAAAGATGGCAATTTTGAGTACACTGTGTTTTAGATTGGGGGTCAAAAAGGCCAAATGGAAACTTTGGTCACTTTTGTTATTCTGAGCATCCTCTAGCCTCTTTTACAAGCAGGGTTGCCTTGATTTGAAATTTATCATAATTTTTGCAAATCTAGCATTATTTTATGACAAATTTGGCATAATTCCAAAATTGAGATATCTGGTCACACTGCCTCGACTTAACTTCACTTTTGCAGCCCGTTTGTCCGTTGAACAGGCTCTGTTGTCAAAACAAGACCACCTTTGACAAGAGCGAGTTGGACGAGGTGAATGATTTGTTGGTCCTGTTTTTCTATCGTATTTTAGGTCGATTTTTAGCCCCTTTTTCATAGGCCAACTATCATGTTTTTATATACCCTTTTTGAGGAAGAAAAGTTCCATTTTGATCTTTTGCTGGTCTTGTGTTCAAATGTTCAAACAATGGTTTTCCTGGATTATGAGTCCTACTTATGAGACACATGGCTTGAAAACGAGGGGGCCATCCCAAATAGGTTTTTCTCAGCATATATCTTTATGGAAAGTCTGCGGGAGATGGTCCTGTCCCTCCCTTGACATGATCCCTAAAATGGTTCCATATTTCTTTACTTTATTTTGTGCTTTATAACAGGACGGTTCCTAGTTGCTACTCCGAGTTTTTACGCTTTATGCGTTCATCAGGCAACTGCCTATATAGCATCGAGCAATTTATTACATATTGGTACACAGTAGCTTTAATATTTTTATTTTTTATTATTTTTTATTATTTTTTTCTTATTGACCCAATCTGGTATTGCTGAAAACACCATGATGATCGCTTCAAATGAACTGCTGTGGCGGAGGAGCAGATAAGTAGAATGTATGTTGTTGTTGTCACTGTTGCTTCTGTTGTTGTTGCAGCTGCATGTTTACAAGTTTTATGTTGTTTACCACGTTGTTCTGTGGTTTCTACCCCTTTTTTAAGTAAAAGGGGGTTTGACTTAAAACTAACCGCAATAAAAAAATATTGATTATCGAAATGAGACGAAGGGCTGATTCTAATTGCAACAATACCGAAACTGGAGCTAAAACCAGAGCGATAGGAAATGGTGCAGTCCCGTTTAGAGTGCATGCTGATCTGAATTCCAAGAGTATTTATCTAGACTTTAACGCGACGACCCCTTTGGCACCATCAGTTCTGGATGCAATATACGCAACTTTGAAATATGCCTGGGGCAATCCGAGCAGCTCTTACAAAGAAGGAAGGATGGCCAAAGAAATAATCGATGAGTCGAGGAGCCACGTTGCAAGGATGATTGGCGGCTTTGCTACTGAAATAGTGTTTACCTCTGGAGGTACTGAAGCAAATAATATGGTTTTTCATTCTGTAATTAGAAACTTTAAGAGGTTATCTGCTGAAAGTCAAGCGCAGAATATGACTTGTGAACGTCCGCATGTTATTACCTCCAATATTGAGCACGACTCGGTTATTCTTGCGTTGATGTCGTGGGAGAAGGCGGGAGAAATTGAGCTCACAGAAGTGCCAGTTTCGAAGAAAACAGGTCAAGTGAATGTCGAGGATGTCATGCTTGCAATTAAACAGAACACAGTGTTAGTTTCAATCATGTTTGCAAACAATGAAACTGGTGTCATTCAGGTTAGTTTTGCCACCTTGATGTGTTATATTGTTGCACAATATGTTCAATTCCATGACTAATTCATGAAAAATTATTAAAAACTATGAAAGAATGGTTCCTTGTTTCTATTATTTTAACTAAAAATATTGTTTTATTGCCCCACAGCTGTGCATAATAGTGTCAATCAGATCACTTGGATGCTTGCTGTTTTAAAAATTCACCATTGACCTTGCCACAAGCATTGAGATCTATAGTATTTTACTTTCAAGTGACACAGCTAAAGGGTTACTTGTTCAGCAACTGAGTTATAGTCTAAGCAACAGAGTTCATATAGTCAAAAGTATTGAAAATTGTGGTTATATAGTAAGAAATATTCTGTCACAAGTCAGGGGGTTGGAATCCAGTGATATAATTCACATTGCTGTATGTTCATCCCAACAGTTTAACTCTTTTTGCCTTCAGCCAATAGAAAAAATATCTGAATCTGTGAGAATAAAGAACATATCAAGACAAAAAGACAATCTTCCTCGAGTTTACCTTCACACTGATGCTGCACAAGCCATTGGAAAGATACCTGTTGATTCTTCTTTGCTCAATGTTGATTATTTGACAATTGTTGGACATAAATTCTATGGACCAAGAATAGGTAAGAAAACAAATTTTTCCTGAAAAAGCAAATAGTATGAATTGATTTCATAAGTCATTAGTTTTTGTGGCTTTTAGATACACATCAGAATCATAACTGTTACAGTTTAGCTTTGGAATGTTTTCTTAATTGAATTATTTATATTGCAATCCACAAATGTGATCCCTGACTGATCTGAAAACGTAATGGCCGATGAGAAGAAATCATAATGTGCAGAGCCCTAGAGACAGAGGGATGGGAAATTTTTTATGAGAAATTGTTGGGCAGGACTTCCCTTGTATTTTGACATACAATTCAAAATATCAAATGCTTTGTTTGTTCTGCCAATAAAATCATCATGTTGTATTTCATGTTTTTGGCAACTATTTCAAGAATTTACCTTTTGTTTATATATTGACTCTGTATTTAGAATGTTTAATTAGTCTTTTGGAGCTATGCAATTTTAATTCTATTTATGTTTGATAATAACACAGAAAACCAGAAACAAGTACATTTTGTTTGGCGCCAGAGTACTTTGGTATCTTCAAATTTTTTGGCACAAAAGTCTATGTAAATTTATGACATGTAGAGTAAAATTATTATTTTATGAGACATGGCGATTTTTATAAGTATCAAGTTATTTTCTAATGATTATTTTCTCTTTTTTTGACAGGTGCTCTTTTTGTTCATAAACTTGGAACTGAAAACTCATCACCCCTGTTTCCAATTTTTTATGGTGGTGGACAGGAAAGAAATTATAGACCAGGTACAGAGAACACTGGAATGATTGCTGGCCTAGGTGAGGCTTGCAGATTGGTGACAGAAAACTTAGACAGCTACATGAATCACATGCAAAAGGTAAAAATCCATGAGTATCATTTTGTGAAGCTATAATAGTTTTTCAAAATCATTGTAATTTTTTTTGACACTGTAACAATCTACAGATTGAAATTCAGGTTGTAAGTTAGCTAGGTGCAGAAAATGACAACAGCCATAGCATCTTCTTTCTAAAGAAGTTAACAAGCATTAGCCGTAAATATTTTCAAATAATTTTTTTGGCTATGTTAGAATTTTGATATTTTATAATATGGTACAGATGTTTTTATCAGACGTTTTACCATCATCCTAACAAAAGATCTCTATGGACCCCCTGTTTTAAGCCCCCTCTTTACCAAGTCCCTTTTTTAATTTGTTCAAGAAAGAGAGCGTAGACAAACACTATCATCAAGACTCTTACCATAACATTTACTGTATGATTTCTCCAATTTCCAAAGTCATGATTTCTAAAGAAAAACTTGTTGGTCCACTACTGCCTTTAGTTTCTATGGCAGCCCTTGCAACTGACACAAGGAAGGATTATCTGGTGTTCCTGGAACAGCCTGTTCTATCTGCCAGCATTCTTGGTTCATTTCTATCCTTGAATTTAGTGCAAATTTAGTACTGGTATTATGTTGTCATTTTTTGCCTCTGTTTTTTTTTCTAGGCCAGAGACTATCTTGAAAACCAGCTGGAAATAGAATTCAGGGGATGTATCAATATCAACAACAGATTCAAGTGTTCCAGGCGCTTACCAAACACATGTAATGTTTCAATTCTTGGAAAAAATTTGCAAGGAAGAAAGGTATTAGCAGCTGCAAAATACCTACAGGCCAGCGTTGGAGCTGCTTGCCATTCAAACAATGGAGACAAACCATCTCATATTCTCACTGCCTGTGGAATACCAGAAGAAATCGCAAAAAATGCCCTAAGATTGAGCATTGGTAGAGAGACAACTGAAAATGATATTGATTTGGTTGTTCAAGATCTGAAGGATGCAGTAGGTAAACTTAATACTGTCAGTTGATAATTTCTGATATGTTATAACTAAATGGTCTTTAACTTGATAGTATTTTAAGGTCTGCCAAGTCGAAACTGGGTCAAGGCACCAATGTCAAACAGGAACCAGTTAAAACTGTTTGATGTTATCAAAAACAGTCAAAAGTTTTCGAGCCAATTGGTCTTTTTGATGATTGCAAGGAAACCCCTGGAATCATGACTGTTTTTTGCAAATAACTTGTTGTGAATGTAATTATATAATTTTGGTTTTTTCTCAGTATCTACTCAGAACGATGCTCTTTCTCATGGGACACACCAGTCATTTCGAAGTGTTCCCAAGAGCTTTTTGCATCTGTTAAGCATTTTGACATATTGTGTTAGAAAAGGCCACTGTTGTTGTATTTAGTTTCATTTTTAATATAATGTAGAATAAAGAAAAGTATGATCGATGAGGCTTGTTTCCAGAAACATGGCCTTATTGGCGTGTCTGATTGGGGGTGTATCAGGGAGGATGTGAAACCCCCCATATTTCCCCGAGTCGAATTCTTCAGCTCCATTGTTTTTTGCCAGAATCACCTTATTATCCATATGCTGGGGTCAATCCCGTAGAAATTTTTTGTGCTCGAATCCACTCTTTATAATCATTAACTACATCATTATGCAAGACAGAAAAACCGAGATGGACATCTGGGGCGTGGTAGGTCTTCTGAAAATCACGTCAAAAGATAGACCCCTTTTGGTCGCTTTTTCGCTAACGAAACCTATCACAACAGGTTTTGTGCGAGGTTTTTTAACCTTTTTCTTTGGAAGTTGGCATCAAAATGAAATGAGTAAACGTTTCTACTGTTGACTCTAAAATTACATATTGTTGAAGTTATAGAATTATACTGTGCATGCGCAAAGTTTTAAGTTTTTTCGTTAATCAAAAACTTTACACTGATCAAAGATAATGAAACTCTTTGCGCATTCAAGAACAAGAATCTCGTTTACATCAATTGTTGCAGGTATAGTACACGTGAGGACAATCTTATTTAAAGAAATGTTCAACGCGACATTTCAAGTCCAAACAATCAACGAAACTGATAAAATAAAACAAACATGGCCTGTATCAGGCAACCAAACACGACTGTTCCAAACAAATAGCAAACAATCAACTTTGATCGTAGAGTTTAATGAATAAAACCTGACGGTTTTAGGTAGTCCATTCTGGCGGCATGCACCTGGTAGGTGCACATTTATGCAGTTGCAATAGATTGTGAATTCTTCTAAAACTGGTTCTAATCTAGACATGGGCGCTGATCAGCTAAGGGGATGGCATGATACTGGCTGCTTAAAACACCCTTTAGTTTTACTGCATGTTATTGTGGTGGGAGGTCTTGCGAACTGCAACTGTCGGATCCTTTTACTAGCTCATACCTATTTCATCATTTTTAGTCTTGTGTCCCTCTCATCAACACCTGTACCAAGAACTTAACAGCTTTTGCAATATGCAGCTTTAACCTGTCATGGTATACAATAGCATAAAACCCATCGCGGTATTGTTGAGGACTTCTGTCCATGGCTGGTTATTTCATTTCCACCTTCCTTGTAAAATCATTTCCAGTTAGCGGCGAGATGAATCGTGTGCGTTTACAAATCAAGTTTCATCCAGAGCTCTGTAAGGCCATGTGCTTGATCAAGAGCGATTATTTTCGAGAACTTGGAAAAATTCTTCTTGGAGATTGAACTAAACTCTCTCTGCAAGACAGCCCATTATGTACAGTATACATTGTTGACTTAATGTCAACCACCAGAAAGATGAAAAAACGAAGTATCCCATTTTGTGGATATTGCAGGAATGCATTTGTTTTTATTGAGAAATCCTCATTTAAAGCTCTATTAGCCCCAAGTGAATTTATTGCATTTTTGACCAGTACAAACAGCTTTCAATCGAGATTATGAAAGAAGGGGCAGAAAAGAACACATCCTCTCGATCTTTTTGAATCAATACCAGCACACAAATACCAGTAAAGATGAAGTCATTCTGGGCATGTAATGCCACAAGCAGAAGCACCACTCATTACTCTACAAAGATATGATCAGTAGAGGGACAGGCAATTCTCAGCCTGATGTCCAGAGAGTGGTCGATGATATTCCGTGAAATACTGGGCTACACTCTTTTTCCATTGACAGTGGGACTAGTTGAGAAAGTACAGCAGCTCCAGGTTGATAAGGAAAAAGTTGACTGCCGAATCATGCCGCATGCAATGCAGGACCCTGGAACATGAAACTGTTGTACTTCCAAATTCCAACAACGTTGTTTTCGTTATGTTATACTACTGGCATCACTTCAAGCACATGGCCTTACAGAGCTCTGGGTGAAATCGGTGATGGGAGGGATTCATCCTGCTACGTAAATCAGCAAGTTTCATTGGTGAAATGATGTTCAGCATTTCTTCTGCATTATATGCATTTACTTGAAATGATTATGCAAGCAAGGTGGATATGAAGCAATCAGCCTTGAATAGTAGTAGTCCAGAGAAATACCCAGATGGCTTTGATATGATTGCAAACCCTGATGCATTAGAACACAACAACATGTAAATGTCGGAGCATAACAATTAGAGACGCATGCAAGGATCTGTCAGATTTTATTTATTAGACTTTACGATTAAATTTATTTGCATTTTGCTTGAAACAGTCGTGTTTGGTTGCCTGATACAGGCCATGTTTGTTTTATTTTATCAGTTTCGTTGATTGTTTGGACTTGAAATGTCGCGTTAAACATTTCTTTAAATAAGATTGTCCTCACGTGTACTATACCTGCAACAATTGATGTAAACGAGATTCTTGTTCTTGAATGCGCAAAGAGTTTCATTATCTTTGATCAGTGTAAAGTTTTTGATTAACGTAACATAAAACTTTGCGCATGCACAGTACAATTTTACAATCTTAACGATAGGTAATTTTAGATTCAACAGTAGAAACGTTTATTCACTTCATTCGGATACCCATTTCAAAAGAAAAGGGTCAGAAAACCTCGCACAAAACCTGTTATGATAGGTTTCGTTAGCGAAAAAGATCCCAGATGTCCACCCTCGTTTTTCTGACTTGCATAATGATGTAAGTAACGATTAAAAAGAGTGAATTCGGGCACAAAAAAATTCTACGGGATCGACCCTAGCGTATGGACTATCAAGTCAAGAGAAACAGGAGCTCATCAGTAAACTTTTATTTTCAGATTTTAGATTATAAAACAACCACGGCGAAACATCAGAATACGTACCTTCAAAAGCTTATTTTTTCAAAGCAGCGCAAAGCACTAGGAGATCTAACGTACCACATATTTTCTTCCCTTATGAATATGCCAAAAAATTGAGGATGTTTCTTTATTATGTTTCAAAAAATTTTCACGAGTATTTCAATTGTTTGCCTTATGTTCTGTTAATTTTGACTTTCTTCGCGAGGGGGGGAGGTGGCTGCATCTCCCATCTCAAGCTGTTATGTTTCCAGTTTTTTAGTTCGAGCGATTTTGCTGTTTTCTACGAGCCGTAATCTTTTCAAGGCGACCTCAGCTGAGCGTCAATCCTTTCGTCTTAAAAAAGGGAACAATATTTGATTTTCTGAAAGAAAGAAATATCATCATGGCCGGAAGGGCAACCCCCTTAGTCAGGCCCTTATACGAGCTGCATCTAAAGGTAAATTTCCCTTGTGTATTGCAAAAGCAAAAGAACCATCTGGCCATATAACCTATTATATCCGTTGCAAATCACCTTCGTAGAATTTATGCCTAAGACTCTCTCATATCTATTCGGTCATATGTACAATATTTTTAATTGTTTTAAAAGATTTCCGCTCACTGATACTGTGGTGGACGTAACTTTGTAATATTTATACTGTTTATTAACCTTTCTTAAAGTGTATTCAAACTTTAGTTTGTTATGTTCATCAAGCTACTATATTTATCGAAGTTTTAGCATGTATTTATCAGGCAATTCGCGGAGCATTTGCTGTAGCAACAACATCAGTAGAGACCCTAAATTAATAACAGAATTCTTGATGTATTTTTAATGAGAAATACTGGCTTTAAATTCTGTGAAGGCTTCCTCTGCTCGGTCGATTTTAATCTCGTAACTTAATGCTGCTGTTCATGGATTTCGTTGGGTCACTTTCAATCAAATTCCAGGGGGGGGGGTGTGCTAGAGGTTTCTGATTGGATATGAATCTGCCCCTGGAGGCTTTAAATCGCGGAAGTAATATCTTCCCAAAATGAAATTGATAGTAAATTTGTTCTTTGTCTACCTCAACGACAGCATTGGATCACAGATAAAAGAATCTCAATCTTTGATTGGTTATTTCTTTTTACCGGTCTGTCACAAAATGCTCGATGCCATACAAGCTCTAATGTGTAGAACCGAAGAGTTTCACGACTAATGCGATCATCAGGCGACCACCGTAAATTCTCGAATAAGCCTCCACCTAAAAATCATTTTTGCAAATAAGCCCCCCCCCTTCGAATAAGAGAAGCATAATTGCAGATTAATACTGTATCCCATTTCAAGAAAGCCCCCACAGGACAATAGCTATACAGTATTACTTCCTTTGACTGGAGACCAAAAAGCAAAAAAGCGACTTTTGTGATGATAAAAAATTATAATATTTGTTAGATCTTCACACTTATTGTAATTTTTCAATTTATTTCATTGAGAAATATATGCTGTTTTTATGTCGACCTTTGAGGAAATTACTAAACTTGAAATAAGCCCTCCCCTCGATTAAGCCCCCCTCGAATAAGCCCCCACCCAAAAATTAATTTTCGCAAATAAGCCCCCGGGGGCTTATTCGAGAATTTACTGTAGTTCTTAATTTTCTTTAAAGCTTTCAGTGTTTTAGAATTCTAAAGTGATGACGTCACAAAAATCTATGGAATTTGATCTTGGAGCTCATATCCTGAAAGAGCATCCTCTCTCAACATGTGCAGAATAAGTTAAATATGTAATGAATTAGCAGAGATATGGTCATACTGGTCACTTTCCCAACAAACCTCTGAAATTTAGTCTCTGTTCATAAACATTTGTTTACGAACAGATCCAAATTTACAGTAATCAGTTAGCAAACGTTAAATCTTTCATTGGCCATATCTCACTCGATTTTTGACATATTCAACTGATTTTGCATATTGCGAAGTATTTTACGGTGTTCTTTTTGGTTAATTGGTCAAAATTCAAAAGTTCTAAAAATATATTTTTATGACGTCCAACTTAAGAACTCTATTAAGAGAGGACAAACTCAGTTAGGGGTCAAACAAGAAAGTCACAAATTTAATCCATTTTTAAGGGATAAAATTTTGGGAGGGGCCCGGTTTTATTAGAAAGATTAATGGTTAATTCGCTGAAATATTTAAATATTCTTAAATCTATTTGTGCAGTCATAAGACAATGTCTTTTTGTGCAGATAAATGTGCGATTCGTTCGAGAAAAAAATTTGTGATATTTTCAATAGGCAAGCGGCACTGATTGGGTAACCTTTACTATCATGTGCACATTTCTGATTGGCCTACTTCGATCCTCAATTGGGTACATATATTTTTAGCTTTGAGTTTTCGATCTATGTTCTGACGTTTTGCAGCCTGAAGAGTGTCAGACGAAAAGCTTAAGTGGGATTAAAATGTTTGCTTTTTCAAAACCAACTTTAAATAAGCTTTTTTATAAGAGCAATTTTGCAAGAACATGAGCCTCATAATTGGTCAGAAGTCAAGAAAAAAATTAGAACAAGCTGTGGCTTAGGTACGCGAAAGTATTTTTGACCGAAGTCTGTTTACATACGCATTTAAATTATTGGCATTACCTGCGAAAACGTGGTTATTAAAAAAACTCTATCATAAATAGAATTTTTTATAAAGGATGTAACTTCTTCACAGGAAAAATAAAGTTTTATATCGTTATTTCTTTAATTAACTGATTGGTATTTTAGGAACAAGTTAGGAACAATCCGGTCTCAATATTTTAGAAAATTTAAGAATTATTAGCTTAAACCTCAATTAACTGGTTCTTATAATAAAAATTTTTGCTGGGTTGGATATTTCAAATGAATTTATAGCACCAAACGACAAATCTTCAAAGGATTTCAATTATCACTTCCAAAAAGAAAATTTTATCGACCTGTGCATATATTTTGATAAAACCTGTTTTATCGTATTCTTTTGGTATCTTAAGGTGCACTTAGACTAGGGGAACGAATTGCTCAAACCTTGTAAATTTTCTATTGCGCGTGCATTTAAAAAATCTCGTGCATCAGGACAGTAAGGTTGGACATTTCATCACAAGCTTGAAAAAGGCAACTGTGGTTTTTCAGCTGATGATAGCGTTAAAAATTCCATAGGAATTTACGTCACTCACTTTTCTTGTTTGAAAAAGGAACCACAAAATGAAAGTGACACGAGATTGCTCGTGTTATTGTGTACTTTAAGCATCAATTGCTCTTAAAAATTGTTAGGCCCATTTCTAAATTTTCGCTATTATTGAATAAACGTTTGAAGCAGTTTGATCACATGGAAATATTCACGTTATCATTATGTCACAAGCACCGCAGAGTATATTACGGATGGAGGGTGGGGGGGGGGGGGGCAAAAAACGCTTTGGGTGGCTAAGCAAACTTAAAACAAGAGCATATTACGGATTGAGGGGGGGGCTAAAACGTTTTGGGTGGCTAAGCAAGCTCAAAATCAAGAGCAGGGCGACTTTTTGTATTGTTGTAATGACATTGTGAAAACTTTCAGGAGGACTACAGCCCCCTCAGCTCCCTACCTCCGCAGTCCCTGTCATACCACCATATTTCTCGGCGTACAAGTCGAGTTTCTAGGTCGGTAAAATACACTTGAATGTCGACCTCGACTTCTACGACGATGATGTTTATGAGAAAGCTTGCTTTGTATTCATTAGTGTAACTTAAAGTAAATTTCTGAAAATTTCTATGAAAAATATACTCTTTTGAAAGGATTTACTTTTGATAGGCGAGTGTGAACTGCGGTTTCAAAATTAAAATTCTTTCTCTCGCGAGTGTCGGGATTTTTGTCAGCTAAAACTAAAATTGATTAGAATAATTTTTGGACTTGGAGCAGCAAAAACGTGCATCGAGAGAAAGTTTGTGGGCCAGCTCATACGCTGGGTATTGCTAAAAACCGGGTACTTTTAACCAAAAATGTAGGGTCGACTTACAAGCCGATAATTACGGTATCAAGCAGTTCTTTGAAAAAAGTAACTGCAGTTTTGTAATGAAGTCCATCAATCCTCAGCACATTGCAATATCGATTTTGTATTTCTTTTAAATCGGATGAAAATGTCTAGGGAAGGGTAACATGTTGACAAAGTATCCTTCGCGGTGCGTTTCTATAATTCTGAAATCTATTTTCACGTTGCCAAAATTAGTGATGGGTGTCTTTTTTTGGTGAAATATGCGTTCCCTGTTCAGCAAAATCCACTTCCTGTAATTAATTAGTTTGGGTGCGGCTTAATATTTTATATCCCTACCAATCCTTGTAGCTTACACTGCTCTGGTGAAATGGTGCAGAAAAATTTTGTCATAATTGGCTAAATTTTCAGAGTGGGGCAGAAAGGAGAGGTTTAATATAACATCACTTTCCATTCTCGACTTGCTTGGCTAATAGGGGGCATGTCACCTAGCTCCCTAATTCTCATCACTTCATTCTATGCATGCTTATCTCCTGGGGTTAACCCCCATTTGTTCAAAGCCAGTTTATTACCATGGAAACTTTGCAATTTTGTTTTACTATAATTTCAAAGTTCCCTTAGAGTTTTTGGTCTAACATTTTCCTTTGAGTGGGGTAGTGTCAGTAGCGTAAGTCAAGTTGGAATGTTAGGGAGGCCAGCGGGGTAATCTTATTGGGGGGTTTCGGGAGGTGATATTGTGACCACGCCGTTTAGGATACTGGAAAAACTTGCCATTATGTCACGTGTACTTTATTCATGTATCGATTTTCTGACCATTGCACAGATAAAGCACGAATTTCCTGTTTTGGATAACCTCACGTAGGGGTCGAATCCCCAAGACAAAGCGTTTCAGACGACTTGTGACCCTCAGGTAAAAGAAGAATGGGAGTTTCCCCCGTTTGAGAATCGTTTACCCAGACGATGAAGAACATTCACCTTGCTGCACAGTCTAAGTGGAAAGAACACTATACTGAGATTAAGGACCACTGTTGACCAACCAATAGCATGATTCGTGCACAACGATCTGACAACTTGTTCCCAAAACAAAGAACTGGATTGTTAACCGCAAATTCCAACACAGCCCACCTGAAGTAAAATCAAAGGCCTTTGTGGTTTGGTTCTAATGTCGGCAACTTTTGCTGCGCTTGTGTTTCAGAAGCTATGTCATTGCTACGAGCTTTACTTCATGCAAATCTGCAGCAGAGAATGAGAAACTGACAACTTTAAAGGAGGATTTGGTGCAATTCCTGTCGTGTTCGTCTAATATCCAGATTAACGCTTGCAGGCACTTAAGTCGCTGATATTTGGTCATTAATACACTTTATAACTTCAAACAATGGATGAACACAGACTTAGCAACGGCGATGCAATTGACGCGTCCAATGGTAAAGTTTCGTTCAATTTCACACCTATTAGAGCCCGTTCTGCACAGGATTTGTCCCAAAAATTAGCACCAGCATTTGCGCCAGTCCCACAAAGTCCCACAACCCCAATCATGTTCCAAGAGCCACAAACTTCCAAGGTGAGACTCTAATGTTTTTATTATTGCGATTGTAACCACTTTCACACATCCATTTGTTACTTTGATGTTCAAATTAATTGAATTAGTCATCTGTTAGAGATTATCATGACTTTTGAAACCTTTTTGCACCTTTATGTACAAACCAGTATGGGATTAAGAAAAGTTAAAAACAGGCTATCGATTGAAATCATTTTCTAAAATTAAAGTCTTAAGAGGCCGTTTATTTATGGGCTGGCAAATGTTATATTTTTAACATCACCTCATCTGATACAAGATATTGAACTAAAACGTAAGAAAGCTGTTAACAATACTCGATCCACAGCACTTTAAATTGTTCTCCTCACAATGAAGGGATCTAGTTGATGATATTGTTGCATATAAAATACATCCTCCTTTTGTCTATGAATAAATATTATGAGCAGCAGGCCAGGAATTTTGGATAATGAACGGGTTTATAACGGGATGGCGGGTCTGTTCCTGAAGTCTTGTGGTTCCGCGCAACAAAGAGGCAAATTAAAATCAGAGACGGCCATAAGTTTAAATTTTTGGAGCTCTGATAATTCTGTCACTTCGGAGAGTAATCTGTAATGTTGTATAACTTAACACCCAATCACGAGAAACGATTTAGATAAGGGTCGTTCAAATCAAGATAAATATGGTATGGTAGTATTGACAAATTAGTTGCTCGAATACACTCTTTTTTTATAAGAAACTGGCTATAAGAAACGAGTACTCGAAGCAAAAAAATTAAGAAACTGTTAAATCAGGATAAATCTGAGAACAACGAATTTTGTAAAATCTAAGAACATGATTGCCCTGTTGGCCTAGAACTTAAGACACAAGGGATAAAAATATACTTTCCACGTCTAATTACAGCATCGGAACGGAAGCGAATCTCTTGATGTGATACAAAAGGTCACGAACATTTCATAACATCATTCATATCAAATCATAATTAAGAAACTCCTAAGAAACAATGAGTATTGAAATTTCCAGAACATTAAGAGACTGGAGTACTCAACATCGACCTTTGTTTCTTATAAAAAAATGAGTGTAGATGTGGTGTTTCATCGGCCCGGCTTAGAAGGGGAGTAGGTTAGCTTACAACCGGACTAAGTATGGCTATTGTCTACTGCGGTTTTCTAAAACCTGGTTTACAACGACTGGAAACTTGATTTTTGTTTGATTTCACAGATCATAGTCCGCACCGCTGATCCTAAACTGGAGGGGCTAGCAATGTAAAGAATGTTCCTCTTACCCCCACTAGCCCCAATTGTGGCAAACATTTTGCCAAAGCTATTTTTCTTCTGGAATTTGGTTCAATGTATTTGTTACTATCTAAAGGTTTATCTAGAAAAATTATCTGGGTTGATTTTAATATTTTATTTGGCAAACAAGTGGGGAGGTCATAGCCCCCCTGGCCCCCTCTTGTGGGGCGTGCTTTGGTGATTCAATGATAGCCCCTAAATTAGTGCTGATTATCAAGAAGTCTCCAATACGATCGATACATTCTCATATACGAAAATTAAAGCTTTGCAGCAAAACAATGACAATAATATATTTTTGGATAACTTTTTATATATTTATAAACCTATTCTAAAATTTTGACCTAATTACAACAATAACATGACATCTTTAAAATGACAGCTAAAGCAATGGATAAATCATTTCCCTTAAAATTATTTATTATGATTTTGTACATTTTATTATAATCAGTATCAGTTTATTATTTATATATTTATCTTGAAGGCCAAGCCCAGCCTCAGGTGAAGAGTTAAAAGAAGAATCTTTAGTGAAACCTCTAGCACAACCCCTCCCCATCAAATTAGCTCCCATTGCCAACCTGCAACTTAGCTAAAGTATATAAATGTGTAACAAAGCATGTTTACACCCTTCCAGTTATTTCTGATAGTTCTTATATCGCTATTTTCAGTTTTATAGATGATTGTCATTAAAATTAAGGTTTTAATAAAAGCTGAAGGAAGCATAGACGCAGACTTAAAATTTCTCCGGAAGGGGGCTGAAAATTAATGGAAATTGGTAATGGAGGCTTCCAGCTGCAGAGGGTAAAAGAGGCTTAGCTGTGGGTTTTAAGGCGATTTTCTTGATCATTTTTCATTGTCGTTATTATTTGATATTAAATAAAACTTTTGAGATGATTTTTATTGCATGAAACCAAGAATATGAAAAATTAGTCTAAAATCTGATAGCCCACAGGCCCCCAAATTTTCTTCTGAAGGACTTAAACCCCGAAGCCCCCCTCCCTCCAAGTCTGCGCCAATGCCCTGAAGTAACATTAATATGCAGTTCATGACACGGTTTCCATCTTTTCTAAGAAGCAAACAAAGCAAAATATTCCTCAATGGCTTGCTTCAGAATTTTTTAACTTTGTTTAGCACAAATCAAGACATTTGGTCATACAGCTTGTAAACATTGGTAAATTCCGATCGTCCCATTGTCACAGGCCTTCTCTGGTATATCAATCAATTCAACTCCTTTTTTTGAAATCTTTAGCACTGCATTAATAACGTTTTGTGGTTTGAAACTTTTGCATCCCAATGAAAACATGCTAATCCTGACCACAATTGATCTTGATACTATAATTGATATTTTCATATTTATTCACAGTGTGAGCAAACATAGCTTCAGCAATCTGCTTTGTTTCTTGTAAACATTCATATGTGTAAATAAACTACTTTCATAAACATTAACTATTTAACTATAACAACATTGGTTGCATCGAAAACAGTGATAGATTGCCTATGAAAACTGCTGACTATATTTTGGAGCCATTTAACTTAACTTGTAACTACTCGAAGAAGCAGAAATAAAAAGTTGAAGAGTGTTATAAAATGTAAGGCTATTGCACCTCAAGGACCGAGAAGCCTATTGCAGATTGGGAGGGCTGAAACACTTTGGGGGGGGGGATACTAAAATTACATACTAAAATTGAAGAACAGGCCGACTTTTGTATGATTTTAGGTATAATTCGGAAACTATTGGGGGCTATAGACCCATCAGCCCCCCTCCGCTTCCGCTGTCCCTGTTCCATGTTGTTCGAATGTTTTTTGGATAATTCGCGGTCATTGGTCTCAGTTTATTTTGGTCTGATACAGTGCCTTCCGAAGGCTGGCGTCACATCATTGGAGATGTACTTTTAATGTTGAAGGTCTTGCATCTTATTTCTGACTGGTTGCTCCCCGTAAACATTAGCCATACATGTTCTGTGTACAAAACACTGCATAAGCCTAGAATCTGGTCGTTGCTTTTGTCTATAATCAAGGGTCGGCTCGTAAATCAATGGTTAGATGGCATTAATGGCATCTTTTTATCAGCTGTTCAACGAACCTTTGAATTTCCTTACATTCAAAATTTTTTTTCATTTATTTCTAACATGAAAGCAAGATCAATTGGTCTTGTCGAACATCTTACCTTCGAGTATTTATCCCAATCGATCTCCAGTATTTATACCTTAAATAATATACAAACATATATCTCCTCAAAACTAGTGCCTCGAGTATTTTACCTCAACTATTATGCTTTAGGTATTATACTTCGAATATTATACCTTCGATGCTAAAAATCTCGACGATCTTTATAGCTATCTCAGGTTTTATACCGATAGATGTCTACTCTAAATTTGTGTCTCGAGTATTTAACCTCGAATAATATACTTCGAACATTTTACCTCGAATATTCTACCTTACCTTTGATTTTATTATCTCATAATTTTTACGACCTTCGATATTATTTTTTATAATATCGCACACCGAATACTATACCTCGATTATTATACCAACATATATCTTCTCGAGCTTTTACCGGGTATTATACCTCGAGTATCATACACTGAGTACTGTTTACAGACAACAGGATTAATTACACTGAGTACTATATTTCGAGTATTATAAATCGAGTATTATATCAACATATATCTCTTCGATTATTATACTTTGATTATTAAACCTCTTAAATTTAACGAGTATTACTTCTTGAGTGTTATACCAGCAAATATCTCCTCGGGAATCATACATCAAGTATTAAACGTCGAGTTTTATACCTCGAGTATTATGCCAAAATGCCTTACTGCTTGCGTCCCCAAGATTTGTATACACTTTGAGAAGAATCATGTGCTGAAATGAAGACATGTTTTAATTTCGGTAGAGCAATTATGTTGAACAGATCAATGTTTTTTAATTGTGTGGATAGGATTTTATTGTTTGTGTGTAAATGTATTGATTTATGTTTGTCTTATAACACAATAAGAACTCCTCGAATTTTGACTACTGCCACACAAATAATTGATTCGCTTCGAAAGATGATTAAATACGGAATATTTTTCATCATTCGAATTGATTATGAGATAGGACTGCTGCTTTATAATTTCAAACTATGTTTACAAACGGAGAACGTAGCAAATGACATAAATACAAGCTCATCAGAAGAAGGTGACGCTAAAGTTTGTGTTCAAATTTAGTGAGGGTGTTAAAGGTGTTTTATTGATGCCAGTCATTAAATTCACTGAACAGATTGACCTGTATGAATATGAAAAACAATTATTAATAGAGGAAGCTTGATGGCAAGTTCTTACCCTTTTAATGGAGGATTTAAACAGCATAGGTTCACTTTCATGAATCAATTACATGTTCCCACTCGAGGCCTGGCATAATTCTTCGAATGAGATTTGGCTAAACGAAATATAAGGATATGAATGGCTGTAGCAGACTAAATATGGAAGTGGCCAACCAACAAAAAGAAGGTAGAGGAGCAAGAAAAAATAAGGAATTAGAGGCGGTAGGAGAAATCGAGTAGGATTTTTAAAGAGGAAGAGTCTGCAAAGAAAAAAATAAGTGAAGAAGGGAAAAACGAAAAAGGAGAAGAGAAGAAAAAAGAAGATGAGGAAGGTGAAGAAGAAGAAGAAGTAGAAATAGAAGAAACAAAAGAAGAAATAGAAGATAAAGAAGCAGAAAAAGAAGAAAAGCATAGGCAGAGAAACAAAG